TTGTGTTCCATATGCGACACAAATTATATCACTACATCGTTTATGATGGATGATATATTAAGTTTGTTCGATTGCAATTGACGCCAAGACAGACTCTCGAGGTACACCCTCTTTTTATTATAGCTATTTTCGTAGTTTCTGCCCGCGTACATTCATATTCAACTGAGAGGTTGCAAATTTTTGATATATTTTTTTTTGATGAAATTTTGGATATTAACGGGTGCTTTTCATCAAACGACAAACTCTATTGATAATGGATATGATCGCACCATTTTTGCAACAATTGCCGTTATAAAGGTCTTATTTTGACCAAAGTCGCGATATTAAACACATAAGGAAATTATATTACTGATCGAATTTTTTATGCTCATCACTGTTAGGAAAAAAACGAAATTTTTATTCCTCATAATGTTGGATTTTTTTTTGCGCTCATTTGTCATAGACTACAAAAATTTGGACGTATATTTTATAGGCGAGGCTGTAATAAATGGGTCTTTCTCAAGAAGGCCATCCGGATGTTGCATGCATCCGTAAAAGATGAATATAACCTTCATCTTGCAATTACTATATATATTCTATAAATGTAAGTACAATTTGTTTTCCAATGAACTCGATACTATTTCTTATGAAGAAGAGAAAAAAGTTTAAAAAAGTCAGATTCAGATTTTCTTGTTTTATATTCATTGACTTAAATTAGAGGATAAGATTTGATCTAAGGTGTACAAAACATTTTTTATTTGTTTAATTTTCGGTGAACTTATCGTAGCTTCAGAAGCAAATGCCGCTCTAAAGTCTGTACAATTCGTGAGGCTTGGTGGTGAAAATTACATAAGCAAAATTTTTTGAAGCTTTGTTGAAGGAACTTAATTCGAAATGTGCATACTAAATGTAATCATATGATGGACTTGCGCTTATTTCGTCACTCTCTTCTCTTTTAAAGAATATCCTTTACAGTTAGAGTTATGAAGACTTTACGTTAGTCTTAAGCTAGTGTTATATCCTAAACCGATATCCGTTTGGATGGTTGCTTGTATTACAATGAAACGTGCAAAAATTGAATTCCATGCACGATATATATGAACACACATATATATGTATGTATGATCGTCTCAAAATATTTAGAAAACTGAAATTTTCTTTCGAAAAAAGTTTTCAAATTTACTGTAAATAGAATGACAAATGCATGCGCGGCGGCTAATAGGAAAAAATATCAACTAGAGAGCAAAGTTCTCATTGGGTAGTTTTTAGCTTTTACGGCGAAATGAACCAAACTACCCCAAACTGAGAAGCAATATGCCGATCCTAAGAAGGCGAACGTTGAGTTAACAACGAAACTTCCGAATGGTGGGTTTTTGATCAGCCGCCGCTGATTGTCAAGCTTATTAAGATCAAATTGAAAAAAATCACTACCAACGTCTTCTGGAATCAAGATGAGGCCGTGCATCTGGATATGCTGAAGCAATAGTTGATCATTGTGATTTCAATCAAGTGAGGCTTTTATTAATTTTTTAAAATTAAACCGTTACTGACACCTTCATACGCACCCGACATTGTCATTTGATTGGTATTTATTACCATTTTTAACATTTTAAAATGGCTTAATGGTAACCTGCAATTAAGAGCAAAAAAAACAATCGTTTAAATCACACATATGCTATTAAATGCTGCACGAACTAACATGTACATATGTGTTTCAAGCTGTGTGTGTGCTTACTGCTATTGCATTGGCTATGGAAAGTTTAAAGTTACAAAAGAATATTTTTAAATTAATTTTCCGTATCTATTGTGCCATATACTATATACACCAAAAATTCTTGGTAAGCAGACTTATCAATAAATTTTCACGCATTTGTCGATATCTAAATGGCAGAAAATTGGTGCAATTACCTAACGCTTTTGTAACATTTAGTTTATTATTATTATTATTATTTTAATTTTAGACTAATGAAATGAATTCTTAGACTAAAAAAAGGTACTGAGCATTAGCAACACAGGCTATCGGCTCTAATTAAAAAAAAAAAAATAATAATAAAATGTACATTAGATAATGAGCTTAGTAGTACTAATAAAGTAATATATAGAATTGATATTCTGTTCTGAAGCTGATTGTAGAATGTTCAAAGGGTTAATCGTTCCAAATGCAATACTTCTAGCCAAGGAAAAGTTGAGGCAGTCGCAGAGAATGTGCTTTAAGCGTAAGAGTTTGTCCACAACAGCAGATTGGGGAAGAAGACTTCTTCAGGATCCATTGGTGAGTTGCAATTGTATGACAAAGGCGAATTCTCAAGAATGTTTGGATCTTTGGTTTTCTCAACATGTGTTGCATATAGAGGTGGAGTTAATTGAGGGTTAATGCAAGAGTAGTGTTGATGATGGTATTGTAAATTTCCTTCTGCAATTTTCTCTTTAACTTTTCTTCCAATGTATCTTTGAAGATCCAACTTTTCCATGACATCATCCATAATTAGAGGAGCAGAAGCAGCATATTTTGCCGCTCGATCAGCCTGCTCATTTCTCGATTTCAAACCGATGTGACTTGGTACCCATAACATTTAGATTATATGTAAAAAATTCATCGAATTTGTTATTATATCGCTTGTTTAGCTAATAGTAGATTTTATGTACAAGATCTTTTCATATTAGTTATATATAGTCTTGCATAATCATCGTGCTTAATTATCCAAAAGATATCTCTGCTCGCCTCCGGGGCAAATTTGAAATGTATCGTACATTTCGTACTAACGTTCTAATAAACAATGTGTGCGTGTGTGTATATATATATATATATATATATATATATATATGTGTGTGTGTGTGTGCGCGTATATGCCATCTTTCTTCTAACAGAGAATGATGAAAAGAAAAGAAAAAAGTGAAAAAACAAAACTTTCGTACTTTTCAGTACAGGGTGGGTGTAGCTAATTGTATCAATTCCCGTAGGAACACATATGGAAATTTTTATCGCCTTCCTATTACAATAATTTGGAAGCAATGTACAAATAATCCAGAGAACAGAGATATTCTTAGTTTAAGCGAACCTATAGGTATCGCACTCGATCAATACCAATCAGAGTGCCGGAATTGCTGAAAACGTTTAGTTTTACACGGACAGACACACACACAGATGGGCACTCTTAAATCGATTCAAAATTTTATGCTTACACAAGAACATAAATACTTTATAGGGTTTCTGACGCTTCGTTCTGGGTGAGAATATGTCTCTCTCATCCATAGTTGATGAGCATGCATAAAATTGTATTTTTGATTAGTTCTGTCTTTATACCTCACTACGATATTCAATGAAATAAATTGAAAAAAAATGTGGTCGAGAGAAACCAACTTGAGCTGAAATTTTTCCTTATCATTTTTAAATTCAAAAGCTTATAAAATCTGTTCATAAACTCGTACATAATTATCAAAAACGGTTAACTGTTGTTATTTTCATAAATTTCAATCATTGAATCGTTGCAAAACTTGAAGTTTAATCCTATATTGCAAATGAAACTTCGTGCACAACTCAGGATCCCTGACCGAATATAATGTTTTTCTTGTTCTATATTCCAAAGCGGAAAGACGGATAAGATTTCTACAAAGAGATGCATGTCGTGACGTCGAATATATTTTGATAAATCACGTGTTATCAACTATGATGCGTCAGAAACTCGTTTTTCTAATTAGTTAGTAATTCGCAGTAAGTAAGATAATAAATATCAAGACGGGTATTGCATGAGATAAAGATAACGGAACTGATATAAAATTATACCTTCACTTATGGTCAAATGAAATTCTCAGTCGAATTTACTTGCGCATAGGTTAAACATCTGAATCCGAATTTAGAATCTATGGATGGATGCGCTTGATTTTTAAAATTTTCAAGCCTACAAAAAAATTGACATAAAATTGAATTGAAATACGGCAGATTTTATTCTTAAATCATATATCTCGGATCGAATTGAAAAATAAGTACACTCGAGTACACTTATTGCAGTTCAATAATTAAAAGTGAAGGTATCATTTTCAATTTCTTTTCTTCGATAGGATTGAATATATTTATGGCAAACATCGATTTATAAATTCATTTAAATCATTTAAGTATACAACAATACCTTAATCGGTCGCAGACGCAATTGTGAGCAAGTAAAATGCTTCAATAATTCATAATTTTCTAATGGGGTTGTGCCGAAGTCAAGTGATGATAATAATGACTTACACATTAGGTGGTATCTGTTGTAGATGCCGATGATAATAGTGAAATTTTTTTTAAAGAAATAATCCGTTCGCTTTATTTATTTATTTTTCTTCATTTATTGTTTTTATTTATTTTTATTTTTTATTTTATGTTTTTTTTTACCATTAACACTGCGTTGAGTACTGACTTTGACTTTGATTTGTGAATGAAGCGACTGACCTACTCTCCATTCATACGAGTGGAATTCATTAGAGCTGCACTAATCTGACTGACTTTTGCCAACAACAATTCCGCATATTGTAACGGTTGTACGCTTACAATGACGAGTTATTAAATGCGCTCGCTCGTTTGTGCACATTTTCACATGGAGTTAATTCGTTGCGTTTCTCACGTCGTGCTATGTGCTTAATGTCAGCTGCTTGAGTAAAATTTAATTGTATTTAGACATTAATTTTCAACACCTTTAGATTTACGCCTGATATAACCACGACTTCATTGAATGAGTGCTGAACGTGTATAAGTTAGAAATTTTTCTGTAAATACATACATACTTATGCGTGGAATGTTATAAGTTAAATATTTTGTGCCTTCTTCACAGTAATAAATAAACAAGCTAGTTGTAGTAATTGTATCATACGCACATTCATAAATAATTACTTGAATACTTGAATATATATATATATATATATATATATATATATACATCAATAAATGTATGTATATGTATGTATAAATTAAAGAAAAGTTATAAGAAAAAATTAAACAAGGTGTCATATTAAAAAAAAAATAATAAAAAAAATAAATAAATAAATAAAAATTAAAAAAAAAAAAAACAACAACAAAAATAACAACGATAACACAAAGAAGTAAGAGAAAATACTTTACAAAAATGCTGTGCATGAACTTCAAATTGAACAGAACCTGGAAAATTGGGTAAGTGTTTACTTCTTGCTTATATTACATTTGAAGATTTATTAAACAATTTTATTTTCGGGCGCTAACTTAAGTTTAACTTAAAGATATAAAGCTGCGCACATGGATGAGTTAGCGGGCGATAGAAAGACGTTTCCATCCACAAATCTCTCGATACGGGACATTTATAAAGTTCAAGTCCATTACAATCGCGTACAGTTTAAGTTTACTGCAATAATTTCCAAACTTTTTGGCACATTTTTCCGCTCCATCGCCTTTATTGCTTTAAATAAATACTAAGATATCAATTTTAAAGTGTATTAAAAAAAAAAAAAGAAGAAGATAATACTTATACATTGGCAATAATCTTGTCAGATTTGCAATTGCTATTTTCCTGCTTCTATACGCATCACCGAAGGATGAGAATTATATCCATTTTTTCGAAACGTTTGCAAAGGCCAGAAAGAAGCCTCAAAAACGCTTCCGGAGCATATGCACTCTTAATCAGCACAAAATTCTTAATCGATTTAAGCATGTCCGCGTGTCCTTTGGTCGCCTTGATTTCTTGGTCTTATAAGCTGATTTACAATTATATAGGATTTTGTTTTTTTTTTGCCTCCTATGGATGATATAGAAGTCATGGACGTGAAAATTTGAATCCTTATATCGAGTAATGAGCACTTTGGCTCAACAACTTGCAACATTTCAGATATTACTTCGACGGACAACCGGATAGACGGACATGCTTAAATCGATTCAGAATTTGCTGCTCATTAAGAATATATGCGCTTTGTGGGTTCTCTGAAGCGTCCTATTGGGATTTGTAAAAAAAAAAAAAGAAACAAATCTCATTTAATTTACATCGCTATAGTTCGAGCAGTATGAAGAGGTTTTTAAAAATTTTAATTTTTTTAACACATTTTGGCGAATATTTGCCAAACTTTTACTAATGAAATTAACTTATCGCAAATCTCTCTCGCACGCTTTTCTAATGGATGAGTGAAGGCATGTAATTCGTTGAGAGTTATGCTGCGTGAACTCATTTTTCGTAAAAACGCATCTCACGTTTCCCGCACTTTGCTATACAATTATGTTTGGCAATAAAAACGTTCTTGCACCATTTAAGAAATCTCTTAAGGGATATAAAAATTATCATTATTATTATTATTATTATTTTTTTTTTTTTTTTTGAGAATTTTACAATACGTATCCTTCCTTCCTCTAATATGCAGATGTGGATGAGATTTAAAATAAATTGAAAAAGCCCTCTTTACACAATAATAGACAGATTGTTTCCCTTGCGTACTGTAATAGTCGACCGATAGTCTTTGCTTCACCTAGAAAAATAACAAAAGGAATAAAATAGAAAGTAAACTGCTTGAATACGGTCTGTAAGTATAAATAACATAAGGGGTATTGTTGATCAATGAATGTATTCGAAATTTATTTACGTAAATTTCATTGATAAATAAGACCTTTTCATATATATATCCATATATATATATATATATACATGTGTATCTACAAAATGATATGTACGCATACACTTGGGAGAGACTAAAATATCTTTGGCAAAAAAAAAAAAAAAAGACGTATCACAAAACATTTTTGCGAATGAGTTTAAAATTGTAATAAAACTCGAGATTAAATTTGATTCAATTGATGGATTATGAGAGTTACAGTGAAGTCAGTTGAAAACGCCCCAAAAAGTTTCTTGTCTGATCGATTCACTTGTCTATTGCTTACTAATATTTTTATTTTTCTATCTTTATCGAATATGTATTTGTTTATTGCTTCGAATTTGTTTTGAATTTGTAAACGAAATTTGATCGTTTCAATGCAATTCTCTTTTGTAAGTAAGTAATTTATATTTGTATTAAAACAATCACAAAAGGCGTGTTTATTTATGTTCAATCATTAGGTTTAATCGCTTTGTGCGAAAAGACGTACAATATGTTTATAATTACTGATTATATACACCATCCACAGGGGGCATATTAACTTTAATGAATGTTTACAGCGTGCGGAAATATATACAATGGGTATCCTATAAAATATATTATACATACATATATACATATTCTGGTTTATCTTTAATAGAATGGAGATGTTAAGTTTAAGAATCGACTGCGTCATTGATTTTGATTGAACATTTAAACATTTAAGGTGTGATCCGTACTCTAGTGAAGAAAATATATCGATCAATAAGTCCCGGGATTAATGACAACTTTCTTTATCATTTTTGAAAAGCTCCTACCCTCAATGGATGCCCATCAAAATTCCATAGTATTTCAATTGTCGAATTCATATGGTTTTAGTGACATCTTCAAAAGAATAGAAAAATCCGAATAACATGTGTTGACTAAACGTTATATTTTAACGGGGAAAAAGACTGTTCCCACGTAGCATTCGCTTGAGGAATATATTGGGAAGTCTGCTTCGTAAACTGTAGACCAGTGAACAGGCGTATTCTAATTATCCTTTTCATGAATAGTAATCCCGAAAACGTGAGACAGAGAGACGGACAGATAAGTTTGAATCAATCCAATTATTCGAGCATTTCTCATAGAATGCCTTAAATAACTGTACGATGGTTTGATGTATTTAATAGTGGGCCGTGACCCATTGTAGCGTTTTTACTTATCATTTATTAAAAATTTGAAAAATATTTTTCCGCATCTTCATTATCAAATCAATTCTCTGCCATCGGACTTTGGCTTATTCTGTCAATTTCGATAATGTCAGTATAATATCCACATTCGCGTATACATACAAAATCGACATAAACAGAACAGAGAGATTATAAGGCTCATTAAACGCTAATACATTTTTGCAAGCTAACAAGGAAACAACTCGAAAACCCGCGGCATGAATATCCTTTAATATATTCTCCGCTACTTACTACCTATACTACATCACTTTCCTTTCACTTACCGTATCTCTAAAGTGATTTTTCCGAGAATAACAAAATTTCTTCAATTGGGCTATTGAAAGTTGACATTTTATGCCAATGTGTTCATGTCTTTAGGAGAAGTAAACTTTTTGCTTTGTTAAAATTAGGTTTTTCTATCGAACTGGTGGTGTTTTTAATTGAGTCAAGTCAAGTTTGGAAACACTCTTTTGGCAGTGTGTTATTGATTTCATTGCTACGGTAATCAATTAGGAAAAATGATTGCCATAACTTGCTTTCATTCTGTTGTTAGTTGTTTTTAAAGCCAAGCGAACACTGACACTCCATTCTGCGTTGTTGTGTTGTACGAGTCCCCGATTATAACGATACATTCATATCTCATACATGGTTAGATATTATTTTGAAAACGAAAGAAACTTTGTTGAGAAAGTTTCATTTGAATGAAACAGAATTCGATACCGATCACAAATACATCCTTAAAGTTTTATTATTGATCTCCAGATCAAATGACCTACTAATGCGTTGTGTTGATCGAGCGACAAGCGGGAAGAGCATTCCGGAGATTAAACGCTGCAGTGGGCAAAGAAAATTGTTGTGCATTTTTGCTAAACGTCTTCACGATGCATAATATTCCCTTCTATTTGCAAATTTAGGAAAATCTCGTTTAACTTAGAGATCTTAATGAATGCGCTCTCAAAATCTCGGCACAGTTGGCCACTCACGCTGCGAACGACATCGACGAACGGAATTTTGCGACCAAAATTGTTTATAATAAATGCAATAAGTTTGAAGGCCTTCTCTTCAATGCTCCCCCGTGCCCCTATTGGCTTTGGACAGTTACGAGTTATGGTAAAATAGTCTCCGGAGAGGTTCAAAATTTTAAAAAAAGAATTTCTCTACTTTTGTTCCTCTTTCCTTTTTCGTTTTTCGTTTTTCATTTTTTTTTTTTTTTTTTTTTTTTTTTTTTCATTTGCGAAAATAAAATGAAGTGCAAAGAAACATATGAAACGGTTAAAATTGTTTTAATGTGGACACGGTACAGTAGTTTTGCACTGCTGTTTAATCGTGTTCAGGTAACATTTGTTACAATTGCTGTTCTGACAGTTGCGTTTTATGCGGTTTTCATTTGCTCGACTTTTTCACGCAGGCATTGGTATGTTTTGAAAGCAAAACAAATAATAACGATGATGGAGACGACGATTAAAATGATAATTATAATGGTGATGTGCTTTAGGTATCAGTTTGAAACGTTTATAAAACGTGCAAAGCAACATTTTACGTTCGCCAGGCATTTTAGGTTCACGTTACGAAGATGTTTACACACATATAGAGACGTCTACACATGTATATATATATATGCAGAGTGTATCAACCAATTGATAATAAAAGAGAAAAATAAAATAAAAAAAAAAATATATATATATATGTGTGTGTGTGTGTGTGCGTTTCCTCACATACATATGTCCTTTTATATTCATTCGTTGGCAGCGGCTACAAATATATCTTCTCCTTATGTCATGGCATTCGCAAGTAGTTTTGCGTGTTGTTTTATTACTTATGCTTTTTTTTTTGTTTTTGTTCGTTTTATATTTTTTGCAGTATTTCAGCTACTTCTGAGAAATCATAATTTTACATTTTTAACAATAACTATCATCCGACCATCATCACCAAACCACCAATGCCACCACAAATAAATATATATACGTTTAGTGTACTTAGCAGGAACAAGTCAAAACTGACTGACTGAGAGCGCAAACCAGGGTGCACACATAAATAAACCCACTTTAACCAAATAGCCTATAGAAAACGGTACGGAGACGATATATCGCGCCACAATATAACAAACTCATGATCGACTGCTTGTTTGGTTGCTGGCTGTTATCTGATTTGTGCGCTACTTCATTCAGTTCATCATTAACATGGTTGTCTTTTTATTTATTTCTTCTCAAAAACGAAAAAAAAAAAAAACAAAACAAACAAAACAAAACAAAAAAGCTTTTGTTGTTTCTCTTGTTATTTGTGTGCTAAGCATCATTGTTAACTTGTTGCTTAGACTCCCAACTCTTGGTCATCTACCTCTGACTTTTGTATACATTTCTATATAAAAGTACATATATTCATACTTACATATAAGTCTGTGGCTAAGTTAGAGGTATTCACTCATCTTTTGTTTTTCATAGTTGCTGATGGTGATGGTGGCCTCTTTAAGAGTTCAAGAGTCAGATTACTGGGAAAAATTAAGATATCTGAGAATTGTTACTGTTTTTGTCTTTTCAATATATGCACGCATATGTATAAATACATATACATACAAACATTCATATTTATAAATATATATGTATATATATATATATGTATATACTTCGACACATATATACATTTAATTTTACCAACACTTGGACATAAGAAATGCAGATGATAGCAATGATGATGATTTCCTTCTTTGGGGAGTTTTTATTATTAAGAATTCTTTTTTCTTTCCATCTGATTATAATATTTTTTTTTTTATTTATTTTTTTTTTATTTTTTCTTCTTATTGCAAAAGGTGTTCATTGTTTTCGAAACAGCCCTTAATAATATTCCTGGGAAATATTTAAATTTATAATATTCGATAAAAATAGAATAAATTTCAAATGAAAAGTTAAAAGCATGCATTGTCACTTTTTATTCGATGAACTTTGTTTGTTTGTTGTCCATATATAACAAAGGTGGTAAAAAAGTGGTAAAAATCAAAAATCAAAAATCAAAAAAAAAAAAAAACAAACAAAAAAGAATTCATATATCATTTCCGAGTTATTTTAGCATATAAAACGCGACTTTTTCCCATTTAACATTTATGTCAATATATAGGAAAATGTACAAAATATTATCTAATCGGGTGTGAAATGAACCTTTCGCTACCGCTTAAATATTAAATTAACAATAAAATTATATTAATAGGTTTAAAAGGAAATATTTTTCATCAAATCCATTTGGGGTTTTCAACCTAAATAAATACATACATAAAATAATATATATTTAGTTTTCGCTTCTATTGAATTGAAAATTGATATCGACAAAATTCGAAATTGTAGAATTCCGCATCGTTTACGATGTGATTACAAATGACCAAAGTCAAACATACACTTTTATATATAGACAATATTTAAGTTATGTGCCTACCTATCTATAAATATGTTATATACGCGTAAATATATTTTCCTAGAATTTTTATAGGAAAGTTTTCCGTTCACCCAATGGCTCGCAGTTTTAATTTAACCATATTTTTAAATGCGATTTGACATTTCATTCTATACGCAACCGTTAATGTGTGTTTTATACCGCGAAAATTTTCACTCTTGCGATAAACATATTTACACAAAAAACATATCGGCATTAATACTGCTACTCTTTATTGCTATATGTATTCTCGATTCTTAATCGTTTATCGTCGATGTCAATTTTATGTCGTACATAATAACCTGAGCGGGGGGTAAAAAGTTAAAGCAAGACTTTACTTACGAAATTTGACTGCAAGATCAAAATCTACTCACCTAAATATACATCATGTACTATTTAGCTTCCCACGATACGAACAAAGGTTTACTCATTTAATATATATCGTACTTTGTGACGTACAAATCGTATAGATTTTCATTAAGGGGAGGATATTAACTTAACGTCTGCAGGAATGATTTTTTTTTGAAGGTAAGAAAAAACTTTATATTGAAAGGAATGTAAAAAGCATAAAACAAAGGGGGAAAACAATAAAAATTCACAAAAAAAACAAATAAAAAATTAAGTTCACATTTGTGGCCACTGAGTAATTTTTGGTAATTTATGAATGAAATGCTTTCATCGATTCCAGGCAAATCGATTCGTCTTACACAATATCTATCATGGCATCTGAGACGAGATTTAGGATAATGTCCTATGCCGTTCAGTTTGATTTCAAAATTAACTTTAGTTTAGCTTCGGGATGCATACAGATGCAGTTCTGCCTTGTCTTTTAGCTCTTTTAGCTATTGCTGCTTTAAACTCCCGACGAGACATTTTAATGATTTTTTTTAATTGATTATATTTAAAAATTGATATGCAATTCTATGGTGAAATTTTCGACTTTTTGCAGAATGCGGAATAGTGTACTGTCATACGATCAAACATATCTACGCATAACTTTATTATATCCATGCCATTGGTATAAAATTTTTCCTTTTGTACAATGTCCTTTGGTTCCACACCGGAAAACTTTATTATTTTCATGGCAACTTGGAAGTGTACGCGGCAACGGAAATCGATTCTCGCTCGCACACCTTTTGTAAATCGTTCTCTGCCAAGAGTTTGCTAGAACTCGCCGATACTCTAGTTTTTCTTATAGTACCTATGTACCTATACTACCTCTTTGCCTTTAAATGACTTCTTAACGATATTGTGGTAGGAAAAGTTTATGATTTTCAAGGTATTTGGGAAATATTCCAATAACATATCCAATAGTGGAAGTACTATTGTATAAAAATATTTTCACAATCATTGAGTAATTTATTGTTGTATTGTTCTTTCATCTCGGACATTTTTATATTGCATAGTGAAGTTCTTTTCGCAGTAAATGCCGTATTGAATAGTTTCTTGTAAATATTTGTACGAAATATAAGTATGGCGTTGCATCAGCTATCGATCCACTTATATATACTACCTTGACTTCGCTTCTTCACTGCGCTTACACGAAACATTAAATTTTACTTATGACTATATTTAAGTTAAAGCACAATCATGAATGATAGCTATGCGTACGCGTAGGTATACATTTGTGAATTCCTTACAAAATGAAAAATAACTACAAATTTTTCCTTCAAAATTTCTAGGAATTTATTACAATTACATGTATTTAGGATATTTCTTCTTATTTTCATCAAATATCATCGCTTTGATGAAATAATTCAAAAATACTGCACTTCCAAGAATCTACTTCACTCGATTTGTCTGTTTGTTTGCCGAATTAAACAATGGAAATACCGGCTTAATTGCAGTCAAACGATAAAAAATTTATTTTTCGTATTCAGGGATTTTTTAGTGAATAAGCTAATGTCAAATTTAGACAGTAATTATAATTATAAAAGAAAAAAAAAAAACGTAAACGTCCCCATAAGCGATCAACAGCTTGAAAAGGTTCAATTGCACAAATGTCTCTATGCCATACAAATATGCATCGAAGATATAATAGAATAAACAACTTGACTATATCTCTTCGCCTATACTTCAGTTTAAGTTTTCCCCTGTTATTCTCATATATGCCGAGAGAAAGAACAAACCTCATCTGAAATTTGTTTCTTCTTCCTTGCTCGACTTGGTAGGATCATTAAAGTTGCGCGTCTAAGATTATTGATTTGGATTAAATGCTTGTACTAAATTTCGTATTAGTATCCAATCGATGCAATTGTTTGGGACTGACTGGGAGAAATGTATTGAGATATTTAGTATTTTTTTCAATTTGTCACTATTTTTAGTAGATTTATGGCAAGATGCCCATGTCTTATGCGTATATTTATATCAGATTCGACGATTCGGAGAATTTTTAAAGCATTAAGACGACACACATGAATTTGGTGAAGGTGGATCCAAAGCATATTAGGTCTATGAATCACACTACTTTATTCTTTTCTCAAAAATGATGAAATTCGAGATCTCAAATCTCTTGAGTCTTCGTAAATCCTATCTTTCAAACGATAGATATTTCACTTATGTCATTTATGTCAAATTATTTTAATTTGAAAAATTATCCTGAACATATTCTTGAACGAGAGATATTATCAGTCTATTATGAGCCGAATAAATCTACTTTGCATAGATGTAGATGTTTGCGTGAAAGACGTCATGTAATGAAACTGCCTTCACATCCCTCCCTTAAAGTCTATATCTTGGCTTTTAAAGTTTTGTATTTTGCTTTTACGAG